CAAAATCTATCCTTTTTGTGTTTTAGCTTGGAATTGGAAAAGAATTAACTAAATAGTAAATAAATAAAATTAATGAATTAATAAACAAAATAATAAATAAATAATTGAGTAAATAAAATGGTAAAATAAATAATTAAGTAACGAAACAAAAATAGTAAAATAAACAAATAAATAAATAAACGAGTGAAATAAAAAGCAAATGAATAAATAAATAAATAAAATAGTAAAACAAATAAATATGTACAATAAATTAATTAAGAAACAAAATATTAAATAAGTAAATAAATAAGTAACATAAATGAATAAATAAGTAAAATAAAAAAAAATATAACTAAAAAATATCTAAAATAAATAATTAAAATAAATCAATTTGTAAACAAAATAACAAGTCAATAAATAAATAAGTAAATAAATAAGCAAAATTGTTAAATAAATAAATAAGTAAAATTGTAAAATAAAAATGTAAATGAATAAGCAAAATAAATAAATTAAGAAACTAAATATTAAATAAGTAAATAAACAAGAAAATAATTGAAAAATAATTGAGAAAAATAAATGAGTATAGTATATGAATAAATGAGTAAAATAAATAAATAAATAAATAAATAAATAAATAAATAAATAAATAAATAAATAAATAAATAAATAAATAAGTAAAATTGTTAAATAAATAAATAAGTAAAATAAATAAATTAAATAAAATACATAAATAAAGAAAATGGTAAAATAAAACAATATCCTTTATCCAATATCCAATAGCCACTATCCTTTTTCTACTATCCCGTTAGTCAAAGCCAAATGCTTTTAATAAATTAAAATAAAATGTAGTATGATCTCATAAGTGTATATGTAATACATACATGTTAGAATAAGTATCATATGGTTTTACATAAATAACCCAGTTACTTAAAATGCCAAAAGAACATCCTGTCACACTTATTATTATTTATTATTATCTGAAACATTACAAATGACACTTTACTTGTATTTAATATGTAGTTTTCGTGCTTTTTATGAATAGAAAAATTTACTTAATTTAATGCAGACACCAAGAATGGGCCGATTTATCATCCTCAGTCTAGTTGTCCTTCTCATTATCATTCAGTTTCTCTCTCTCTCTATTATATTTTGTGATGATAAAGATTTTATATTCTCTCCTCTCAGCTTTTACTGAATGCAGTCGATGCTTGTCTTGGCCATTGTTTTAGACCGAGCGAGTATAAGTGAGTGAGACTGGAAAGTATTTCTACTGCTGAAAAGCCAAAAAAGTCAGACAGAAAAAAAAGAAGTGCAGACTCCAGAATATCAGGATAGAGCAGATATTAACAGCGCAGACAACACACAGGCAAGGTAAACCTCAATCAATCACTTTCTTCTATATAAATTCTATTTTCCGTTCACATGTAGCATAACTTTTATATTTATGAAGTCTGACGTTTAATAGATCACTGAAAAAATAATTACGTTTGCTGTTTGTTCAA